GAAATAAAGCAGAGATTTCCTCTTACAAAATGTAAAGAATATAATCCTCCTATTTATTTGAGAGGGGCTCATGTTAGTGAGAATGACCATGAACTTCTGATCTTGCCTCTACGTCCCAGGTACTGGATTATAGCTATGCATTATTACATTTTACTTTATTTATTCACTGTTTTATATGTGTGATTGTTTTACCTGTATGTATGTAAGCACTCTTGAGTGCCTGATGCCTACAATAGTCAGAAGAGGGCAACTCCTGGAACTAGAGTTACAAATGATTATGAGCTGCTGTGTGGGTGCTGAGAATTGAACCTAGGTCTTTTGGAAGAGCAGCAAGTGCTCTTAACCACTGAGCCGTCTCTCCAGCCCCTATTTGTTTTAATTTTTTTAAGATTTGTGTGTGTGTGTGTATGTGTGTGTGTGTTGTTCTGCATGAGCATATGCACATATATGTATGTTGGGATTAGTGTGAACTTGTGCACATGTAGCGACTAGAAGTGGGTATTAGATTCTGGAATCTAAACAGGTGTTTGCAGGATCTCCTGCTTGATACATCGGTTTTGAGATTGGAATTCCAGTTCTCATGATTGTGCAACAAATGCTTTTAATTGCTGAACTCAGTGTTCCAACACCCTGCTTTATTCTTGAAACAGGGTCTTACTATGTAGTTCAGGCTGACATCTTAGTTGATTCAGATGCAAGTTTTCTCAGTACCTGAATTTTTAATTTGAAGCCTTCCAGGTCTATAAACTGAAACTATTTATTTATTTTTTAATTTTTATGTGTGTGAGCCCATACAGTACTAGGAATTCAACCTCATGCATGCTTGGCAAACACTATGTCCATGAACTACAGCCCCAGCATATCTTCTGACTTTTTATGTCTGTGTTTTCTCCATAAATAACAATTAGAGAAACTTTTTTCAATGAGAGTAACTAGAATTCATATTCATAAAAACTTGGAATCGTGGGTCTGGAGATTTATGGGTCTCATATTATTCTTATAAAGATCCTAGTACCCATGTCAGGTAGCTCATAAATAACTACCTGTAATGCCAGCTCTAGGGTTCATACTTTTCTGACTTCCAAGGGCACCTGAAGTCACATGCATAGACCCACACACACATAGTTAAAAATAATAAAAACCTTTTTTAAATAATAAAAATCTTAAATTCCTTGGAATTATGTAATTTCTTACAATACTTCTTAGGTGGACTTATGTAGTCTATACTTTTACTATGACTTTACTGCCTTGCTTTTGTGTATATATGTGTTTTAGTCTTAAATCAAGCGATTTAATAGTAATTCTTTCTAGATGTAGATAAATACTTCCCAGGCTGGAGGGATGGCTCTTGAAACCCAGAAACCACGTACAAATTCTGCCTGTATGTAGTAGCCCATTCTGGTAATACCAGGGCTGGGAAGGCAGAAAAGCCAGGGGCATACTTGGAGCTCACTGGCCTGTCAGTCTGGCCTAATTTGTTCAGTTATAGGTCAACTAGAGATTCTTGTTTCAAAGGAGGTGAATGTTATCCAAGATTGTCCTCCCTGACCTTCTCATAATCCTCATACACACATGCGCACCTGCACACACATGTGCACATCTTTCCCTGAGGCTGGAAAGATGGCTCAGTGTTAAGAGGACTGACTACTCTTCCAGAAGACCAGGGTTCTATTCCCAGCACCCAAATGACAGCTCAAAACTGTTTGTAACTCCAATTCCAGGGTACCCAACACCTTCACATAGACATACATGTAGGCAAAACACCAATGCACATAAAATAAAAACAAATAAAAAGATACTTCCTAAACTTCCTAAAGATTTATATTAATGTATTATTTTGTGTGCGAGCATGATCATCATTTTTCATTTTTAGGGTCCTGAATGACCTTGAGCTAGTGGAGGGTGACTTGGAACTCTTCTCCTGCTGCCAGTGCACAGGTGTTAGAACACTAAGCACAGCTAAATTCTTCTATTTAATAAAACCTAAAAAAGAAGATAGAAATTTCAGTTCCCATGTGAATGTGCTTGAGTGTGTGTGTTCCTGTGTACATTGTACATGTGATAGAACAATTTTTGGGAATTGTATCTCCTTCCATCTGTGTGTCAATGTCAGGCTTGATGGAAAGTGCCTTTATCCAGAGAGCATATCCCATTGATCACAAGCACCCATTTAAACGATAGCCAGTTTATCTGGCTGTAATTTTTTTTTATATTTTCGGGTAATAAAAGTTATTTTGGAATGTAAAAATGCAAAATAAGTACAGCAATCAGTAATGCAACTACAGTATTGCACAGTGCAGTTTAAAGTATTGTGGGTGAAGGTAAAGAAAGGCCCACGTACCATCTTAAATTGGGCATACTTATCACATCCTTTTCATATGGAAACTATATATTACATGCCTATAATCTTACACTTGGGAGTCTGGGTCAGAAGGATGGTAAGTTCCAGTCCCTAGAAACTTCGTCTTAGAAAAGAGAACAAAAAACTGTAAACAACAAGAGAACTAACCTTGAAGCAAGGTCAGTGAGTTCTTTGGTATATTCATGCTGCTATAACAAAATATTTGATAAGGATAATTTATAACTAGTAATACAGATTGAGGCTGGCAAGTGTAGATTAGATTCTCTTGTAGGTGTCAAGTTTGTCTTATAAGTCTGTACTCATGGGTACTTAAATGCTGTGTACTCTTTTTGAAGAGTAATAAAAGGAGACCCTAGGCAGTCCATAAGGTTTCTAATCCCACAAACAGGCTCTGACATCATGATTTAACCTGCTCTCAAAGACCCCACCTCGTTTGTTTTTTTTCCACAGGATTTCTCTTTGTAATAGCCTTAACTGTCCTGGAACTAGCTCTGTAGATCAGGCTGGCCTCCAACTCACAGAGATCCACCTCCACCTGCCTCTACATCCCAAGTACTGGGATTAAAGGCATGCGCCACCAAGGCCCGGCTAAGACCCCACCTCTTACTATTATTACCTTGGTTATTAAATTTTAATATATAAATGTCTAGAGGGGCACAGACATTGACACTCTAGCCATCAGAATTGTACTGAAGGTCTGTATTATAGCTCTGTTGACAGAGTGCTTATCTAGGCCATTGGTTTCATCCTTAGCATAGTTTAAACCATGGTGGTTCAGACCTGTAACCCCAGCATTCTGTCAGAATAATTAGAAGTTTGGGGCTAACTTTTGTGCTGGGACCATGCCTCAAAAAACAACAAAAAAGTGTGATGTGTTGAATAGACAGATAGTTTGCCTTGTGTAAATGTTAAGATAACTAGTGGGGCTTGCTGAGATTTCCTAGCCCTTATCAGTTCAGTGCTGTTTGGGATCTTACATGTTTATCTTAAAATAATTGTTTCCATTCTTAATGTTAGTATTACAGTTAATGTATCTAAATTGTAACAGAGGTAAATATCTATTAGTCAGTGTATTGCATCTAGTGAAATATGGTTTACTGTTTGTCTTTTTTTTTCAAATGATTCATTTTATTTCATGAACATTGGTATTTGCCTGCATGCATGTCTGTATGTCAGGATCCCCTGGAACTGGAGGTACAGACAGTTGTAAGATGCTATGTTGGGCTGGGAGTCCTGGAAGAGCTGCCAGTACTCTTAACCACTGAGCCATCTCTCCAGCCCCAAATGCCTCTATTTTTAATTATCATTTTTTATTAGTTCTTTATTTTTTGTTTTTCGAGGCAGGATTTCTCTGTAACTTTGGAGTCTGTTGTGGAAAAAGCTCTTATAGACTAGGCTGACCGGCTGTGCTTTTTATTTTATGTTTTACTTATTTATGTTTTTTGTCTCCACATAGTGAGAAAAGTCATGTAGCCTTGGCTGGCCTGGAACTCCCTATTCAAACCAGTCTGACGGCTTTGAGCTTGTAGCCCTATCTTGGCTTCTCTAGTGCTGGGATTAAAGACATTATTATTATTATTTCTTACTTTGTAGCCCAGGCTACACGGGGAAACCCTGTCTTGAAAAACCAAAACTGGGGGCTGAAGGATGGTTCAATGGATAAGAGGACTACCTGCTCTTCCAAAGGACCCAGGCTCAATTCCCAGCATCCACATGGCAGCTCAACACTGTAATACTTCACACAGACAGACAGACACACATGCAGGCAAAATGCCAATGCATATAAAATAAAAAGAAATAACTCACTTTGTAGACCAGGCTGGCCTCAAACTCACTGAGACTCATCCTCCTGCCTAGCCTCCCAAGTGCTGGGATTAAAGGTGTGTGCCACTACTGCCCAGCAAAATGAATCGTTCTTAATAAAAATAAACCAGGGGTTAGCAAAATGGCTCAGTAGATAAAGCTCTAGCTGTCCTGAAACATTCTCTGCTGGCCTCGAACTCACAGATGCACTTTCAGCCTTCCAAGTACTGGCATTAAAGGAGTTAATGTAGCTTTATTTTACAATGGTTACAATGCTCAGCTTTGTTTGGAATCATTTAAAAACATTTTATAAAATTGTATGTATGTTTGCATGTATGTGTCTGCACATGCCACAGCACGCATACAAGTGCTAAGGATTGAAACTGGGGTCTTGCACATGTTAAGTAGATAAGTACTGTCCACTGAACTCTACCTTCAGCCAGGTTGAAGCATACATGTTAGTTCTAAAGATCTCCTGAAACAAAGACATGGTTGCACGGGGGACATAACAACAGGTAGTCATAGGTGGTCACATAACCTTTTGAAACAAAGGTAGGGTTGCAAGATGGTTATAAACAACTTTTTGAAAGAAAGTCATGATTGCCATTCCTGGAACAGGCAACATAGAATCATTTGTAGTTAAGGTATGAGTGAAATAGAACACAATCTTGAAAAACAGAGGTTTAATCATAGACAGGAATGAACCTAGTTCATTTTTACTGTAAAATGGTTTTTAAGCATAAGATAGAGTTGGGTTGGTTCTTCAGAGAACAGCTATCAGGGGTAAGTTACTTCTACCTTGTTGATATGGATCTGAGAAAATGGGGCAGTTTCCCTGTCTCTACCTCTCTTGTCCCTGTAGGGGTACGACCTTGCGCAGGGGCCATGCTAATCTTCTCTGTATCATTCCAATTTTAGTATATGTGCTGCCGAAGCGAGCATTGGAATTTTTTTTTTTAATCCAACTTTTAAAAGTCCACCAATGACATACATGTGTTTTTGGTTTTTCGAGACAGGGTTTCTCTGTAGCTTTGGAGCCTGTCCTGGAACTAGCTCTTGTAGATCAGGTTGGCCTCGAACTCACAGAGATCTGCCTGTCTCTGCCTCCTGAGTGCTGGGATTAAAGGCATGTGCCACTACTGCTCAGGCCTAGTAATTCTTCATGTATCTTTTTTTTTCTTTTTGGTGTAAAGAATGTGTGTGGAGGGTACATTGTATATATATGTATCGTAGGCATTGGGTGTCTTTCTCTATTGCTCTCTGCCCTGTGACACTGGACATGGTCTTTGGCTGAACTTTTCAGTTAGGCTGACTTACCTGGAAGGAAACTCCAGTGATCTGCCTGTTTTCACCCTGAATAATGTCATGCCTGGGAAGTCAGACTCAGGTCTTTATGTTTGCAGAGCAAGCTTTCTCACCCATTGAGCCATCTTTGCCTCTTCATCTATCTTTTGCTTGTATTGCCTTCAAGGCCAGCCAGGGATACTCAGTGAGACTCAAGAGACAAGACAACTAAATGTGATATTATATACTGGATGGAATATTGGAACAAAAGGATGAGAATGGCTGGGAATTTAGCTCTGTGGTACAACTTTGCTGCTTCACACATCTTAAGGCCCAGGGCTTGATACACAGTGCTGCTATCTTATTAAAAAGTATATGGGGTGGGTGCTCAAGAGATGGTTTAGCTCTTAAGAGGATCTGGTTTAACTCCCAGCGTCCATATGGCAGCTCACAACTGTCTGTAACTCCAGGTTCAGGGTACCCTGATACCTTCTTTTGAACTGAATGGGCACTGCACTCATGTATAAAAACATTAGAAAGAATAACCATATGCTTACAATTAAATGAATACATTAAAAAAAGAAATATAGCCGGGTGGTGGTGGTGCATACCTTTAATCCCAGCACTTGGGAGGCAGAGACAGGCGGATCTCTGAGTCAAAGCCAGCCTGGTCTACAAGATTTATTTCCAGGACAGGCTCCAAAGCCACAGAGAAACCCTGTCTCGAAAAACAAAAACAAACAAACAAAAAAAGGAGCCCCTTGGACAGTAGTTATCATCAGAACATTGTGTATGTTCATTGGATCCCTCTGGAGCTGGAGTTACGAGTAGTTGTGAGCCACCTGATGTGGGTGCTGGAAATTAGCTCAGGTCCTCTGTAGGTGCAGAAGATGGCCTTCTTTGCTGGCCATCTCTCTAGCTCCTTATTTTATCTTTATTTTTTATTTACTGTGTGTATATGTGTATGTGGGTTGATGAGTATGTGCCATGCCAGATGTGGAGGTCAAAGGACCATATTCCAGAGTTGCTTCTCTCCTTCCACTGTGTGGATTCTGGGGTTGGATTTAAATCTGGCATACTTGGTGCTGCATTCTTTTGCCTACTGAGACATCTCACTGGCCAACCACCTGCTTGATGATTAAAAACACCTAAATTGTTACATGTATTTCTCAAATATTTATTAAGGTGGTACTTCTTGTTACCCTCAACTTGAAAGGATTGCTAATTTAACTTAAAATACTCTCTAGGATAGATTTCTTTGTATTCTAAAAATTTTGTACTGAAGTTTTATGCTAATCTTATAAACCTATAAGACTATGGATTTAGGAATCTGCTCTTCTGCTGGCATTGGAATGTAATCCTATGAGTATATAATCATGATGATGAAAATAAATAAAAGAAAAATAAAACTTCTCCCTTAATTCTGATGACCAAGTTTCACAGATTATATATAATTAGGAAAATGCTTTGATCCTTAGTTAATGATACTCTTTGTGAATAGCCTCTGTTTTAGAGTTTTTATTTAAATTTTCTTCATATATATTTGATTACATTCTTTCCCTCCCCTGACTTTTCCCAGATCCTCTCCTCCTCCCTACCCATCCATTTTAATGTTTTCTCTTTCTCAGAAATAAAATTGAAAAGTCAAAGCTGCCCACCCCTCCCCCCCAAAAAAATCCAGTAAGATGCTTGAGTGGTGGAGGTGCACACTTTTAATCCCAGCACTTGGGAGTCAGAGGCACGCAGATCAAGACCAGCCTGGTCTACAAAGCAAGTTCCAGGACAACCAGAAAAACTCTGTCTCAAAAAAAAGCTACCCAAAACAGCCAAACAAACAAAAATCTCAGTGAGGACAAGAGGCAAAACAAAAACCCAAATTGAACACCCAGCACCCCCACCCCCAATACCCACACAAAAAAGTCTGGTTTCTGTTGCTTCTGCTCCTGGGCATGGAGCATGCCTTGGAGTGTGGTTGATAAACCCAGTGATACTAAATTGAAGAAAACTGATTTCTCCCTTTCCAAGCAGTTAAGGGTTAGGCTTTGGTCCACTCCCCCTTGTTAGTGATGAAATTTTGTCTGGTTTGAACTGGAGCAGGTCTTGTGAGCTCATGTGTATCAGCTATGTTGTGTTTGGTAGGTGTTTCCTTGGAGAAACCTACCACTGTGCTTCTTAGAACCATTCTTCCTCTTCTTCCTTCAGAGATCTCTTGTGGGGAGGGGGCTTCATAACCACATCCCATTTAGGACTTAGAAGTGCTCCAAACTTTCACACTCTGCACATTGTCCAGTTGTGGGTCTCAGAGTTAATTACTCTACAGCAAGAAGCTTCTCTCATAGTTGAGCTGATGCAGTGATGGCTTGAGTCCCAGCCTGGTGTGGCTGCTGTGGGTCCCTGGTGGAGACTGTTCTATGAGTCTGGCAGGAGATGTGTTAAAAGGAAAGAAAGAAGTAGGGGAACCCTGGGCTTACACCAGGAGGACAAGTCCCTAGAGGATGGAGGTGGACTGAGAGGAAGTGTTCCTCAAGAATGAGTTTTTGCCGTGGTGATGCACGCCTTTAATCACAGCACTTGGAGGCAGAGGCAGGCGGATCTCAGTGAGTTTGAGGCCAGCTTGATGTGCAAAGTGAGTTCCAGGACAACCAGGGCTGTTACAGAGAGAAACCTCTCTCAAAAAACCAAAAAAACCCAAAAACAAACAAACAAAAGGTTTTTGACACTGAGTTTTTTAATTGGTTTGCTTACAGGGAGTCAAAACACTAACTTGTAGAGCTTCTGTTGACTGTACTTTCTCATTTTGGAAATTATCATACTTCAAGCACTTAACAAACTAAATTAGAAACATTTAAGGGATATTCTAATATATTAAATATATGGATGCTAATAATTGTTCTACTAAGGAAATTCTTATGGCATTTAATGAGAATCTTAGGCATTCTTGGAAAGTTCTCTCACATGGGTTAACTTTTGATTTTTAACAGTTTCAGTTGAGTATGCCTAAGTGGTTCTTGCTGTGTTGGTGCTGAGAAGATGTTCACAGGCTCCTCAGTCCTCTCTGCGGGTTTCAGTCCCCAGAGTCGTCTTTCTAATTACCTTCCCATGGAGTACGTTTTGGTGCTAAGAAAACAACTCGGCCTTCTAATGATACAGTGCTTTTCAATTTTGTTTTGAAAGTTAATTTTTAAAAAGTTTTAAAAGCAGAAGGAAAGTTTCTCAGAAGGAAATTTATATAGGACTGCTTTGTAGTCTGATCTTTTTTTTTTTTTTTATTTTGTTTTTTTGAGACAGAGTAGTATTTTGTATCCCTGCTGGGTCTATTACTCACTATATGCAGTCTAGGCTGATTGCAAACTCACAAGCAATCCTCTTGCCTCAGCCTCACACATGCTGGGTTACAGATGTTGAGCCATACATACCATACCTGGTTTCCTATAACTCAACTCTAGGGACCCACATGGTGGAAGAACTGATTCCCAAAAATTGTCTTCTGATACACACACACCCTGATCAGTTTCTTCCTCCTCCCCTTCTTTCTTTCCTTTTAAAAAGTTAAAGTTGTTTCTCATTTTCTACCATATTTAGAAACCAATTTATACATAATTTGGATTGTTTTGTTTTGTTTTTTTGAGTTTCTCTGTAGTCCTGACTGTCCTTGGAACTCACAGAGATCCACCTGCCTCTGCCTCTCTCAAGTGCTGGTATTAACATAACTTTAATGGTGCTAAATTCAACACCTTCCCTATGTTTGGCAAACATTCTGCCACTGAGCCACATTCTCCTTCCTTTTTATTTTATACTGTTAGGAACTGAGCAATTTTCTTACCTGTTATTTCCTCATCATAGCAATTCCTCGATGGTAGGAAAATTCTCTAAAGAACAGATAACCTATGTGAATAGACATTAATTAAGAATATCTTTAAAAATTGGTTTAAATATCTATTCTCCTTTTTTTCTACTGAAGAACTGATCCTGATATAATTTCTTTTTTTGTATATCTTTATTATGTATAAAGTAGCACATACCCAACAACCAAAGAAAATTTCAAGTAGTACAAATATTACAATTTTAAAAATAAATATCACAATGTGATAAGATATTTGGTATTTTTTCCCATTTGGAGGGACTTAACAAGAATCAGGATATCTGTAGTTTAGATGGGGATTGAGGCTTTTTTCTTTTTTGATATAAAATAATATATAATTTTTTGTATGTTTATTTTTTATTCATTTTACATACAGTGACACACATTCTTTTTTAAACACAAGACTATCCTTTTGTAGCCTAGGGTTTGAATTTACTATATAGCTGGGGGTGACCTTGGACTTCTGATTCTCTTTACATCCCTCTGAATGCAAAGGTTACAAGGGGTACTAGGGATCAAACCCAGGGGTTCAGGCATGCAATCAAATGAACTACATTCTTACCTTCAAGTATGTATGTGTGTGTGTGTGTGTGTGTGTGTGTGTGTGTGCGCGCGCGTGCGCACCTGTGCACACATGTACACAGGTATATTTGTGCATCCATGTGCCCATGAAGGGCAAGTGTGGAGGCCAGAAGTCAGCTCTAGGTATCTTGTATTACTTTTTTTTTTTTTTTTTAAAAACTATTTAGTATGTTTGGGTTTGGTTGCATGTGTGCCACTGTGCATGTGTGAAAGT